ACACTGTGTATGTCAATTACTGTCGGCTGCACAGGACCGTTTAGAGGGCCTGTGCTGAAATGTCATCTAATGCATTCCTACCCGTCAAAGTAGTTAGGGTATCCACCCACCCCCCCACACACACTAAAAGCAGTTGCTGGTGGATTCTTAGTCCTCAGTCGTGATAGGCATCCAGCGCAGAGATATAAAGAGACTTGTCTGAGTGCTTGTAAAACTGTACACAAACTGATACAGAAAGACCAGCAGGACATTGAGACCATTTTTGACACCATGATGATCTTTTCACTGCATGTTGTGTGATTGGCATATTCTTGGAGCACTCTAAATGGACCGTTTTCTCTTTTGGAGAGCTTAGTCATGCTGACAGAGCTGCATTTAATCTACGCTTCCGTCTCTTCAAAAAGAAAGCTTTGAAAAATACAGTTAAGTCTACCTTTCTCTTTTCCAGCCTCTGTGTAGAATGAAAACGCATATTAGGCTGTGTCATAGCAAGTTCAAACATCAGCTGATTCAGTTTTCTAAAAGGAATTGTGACCCCTTTTTTAAATATTCCTGTTTGAGTGCACACATGTTCTCTGTCCTTCTAGACATTAAAGTGAAATATTTCATTAAAGAGCCCTTTTGTGAAAGCACATATTTGAAAGAACATATTTGTTCCACTTTTGACATATTACAAGATTTTTTTCCACTTTAGCAAATAGTTTTAATTGATTACCAGCTTTGGTCTTAATTAGGGAGGATCCTTGACTAATTTCCTCGTTGATTAAACAGAAATTTAAAGTCAGACTAACTGACTAATCTAAAGGTAAGAACACACAAAAAAGTAGTAAAAAAAAACTGTCTGACAGTAAACACCGTCAAATTGGTTTGTTGTGGCTAACATTAATAGTGCTAGCACCACCAGCCTTCGGTCCGCCTTCAAAATACTCCCGGACTGCACTACTCCTACAAGATATTATGCATTCACTGTGCTTGTTTCCATCCAGGTAGTAGAGCTAGAAGAGAAGGCCCATTAGCCTGGTCTACAACAAAGAGACAGATGGCTGTGTTAGAGCTTGAGCAGGGTCAACATACAACAATATAAATATTTAATGTAATTGACTAATTCTATCCATGGTGATGACCGTTAACCATTCAGTCACATCTCTAATCTTAATAGAGAGATATAATGGGAGATCTGTTAATGCAGCAGCACAATGAACAGCTATAGCACAGTTAGCTAAAGTGTCCTCTGGGAGGTTTTGTAGAAGGTGTTGTGTTTCATCCCCAGGCTGCTGTTTCCTGTTCTTGACCTTTTTTTTTTTTCTTCTAGCAAATCTAAAACGCTTGATTATCACATTTACAAATCCAAAAGTCCTCTTATTTCTCACACATTTAATAATCTGCTATATAAATATGCTGCTTGATTCATCATCAAATCTCTTTCCAGTTGCTTAGAGACGCTTGGATGAATATAGATCAAGGGTTCTCCACATCCACTGTGAAAATGTCTGTAGACGTAGCAGCTTTTGCTGTGCATAAGCTGCTAAATGTTCTATGTAGCCCTGTCCATTGGTGCTAAAGAAAATGTCCGACAATGTGGCACTTACTGTCAGTCAGAGCTGGTTGATAGCAGACTTCTTTTTAATTGACATTTATTTTCAGCATGTTGGGGTCAACTATGTTCTCTTTCTTGTGATGAACAAAGTACATTATCAAACATTTAAGAAGTAAAGTTTCTGCTCTGATATTTGTTTTTTTTTTCCATACAACTCTGTCCCTCAAGGCAACATCTTGTGTTGTTTAAAGAAGATAAACCCCTTTATGCTTTTGGTTGTCCTTGAGTGATAGTCTTGCAGAGAAGGAGCAGATTCTGACAGTAAAGCTGCTCAAAATTCCCCAAAATGTGCAGGGTGGTGCACGAGTTTCAGCTCCAGGCACTCCCTTGGACAAAGTACTTTCCAATGAATATATTTTGGCTAGGGGATACAAGCTGACACGAGATGTTCCATTTATACAATTAATTGATTATTTAATGTTCCCTTTGTTTTTTTTGAAAAAGTGAAACACTTTCTGGTTATTGTGATTGGACTGGATTGTGACTTTTGTATAGAAATGACTCAACCTCTCGTTGATGCACAGTGACATTTCCAGAGTGGAGTTTTTAGTACCATCCTGACAGAGGATAAGTGATTTTATAAAACAGGAAAAAAAAAACAGTTCCCCTGACCTTCACATCATTAGATAAATGCTCCTTTAAATACAGAATTTGCTTCCAACTCGACTCTTGTGCTATTTAAAGTTCAGGGACTGTTGTCTTATGAGAAATGCATGCGCAATCTTCCACTGTTTTCCTGACATGTTTTGATTCTGATGTGAAATGATTTTGATGGTGTGTGTGTGTCTTGTGACACTGACTGGCTTGCATTGTGATTTGAGGCCTACAGCTGCTCTTACATAACAGTAATCTGAAAAAAGGCTGCCCTGTGTTTCCATGGTAATGTGTTTGGTTTCCATAGCGATTGCACTCTCAACAGGAGTGGAGGCTAGCCGAGCCCCTGCGACACCATATCTGAAGAGATAAGAAGTAAGGGGTGGGCCTGTTGTTGTGAGATGACAACATTCTGCATCGATGGAGCCACTTCCTGCAGCTACAGCCGTTGTTATTGCTACACTGTCCATTAGAAATAAACACGTTTGTGGACAGTGTCGAGTACTGCCCAGCTGGATTTTGTCAGCTGACATTTGTGGTCAGACAGAGTGCAGCAGGAAATAGGTTAGCTCAAACAAATGCTCCTCGAAAAAGCTGTGAAATTGATCAGCTTTACTGTACCTTCATCAATGCACATCACAGCAGAATGTATTCCCTGTGATCGTCTCCTTGCTTTGTTTACTGACATTTAGGTGGTTATTCTGCAAAAGAATAGATGTTAGAACATCTGCATAGATCATTTCTTCACACCATCTTGTATCCTCCCTCCTGCTTTTTCTGCTCTTCTTTTCTCCTTCTTCTAGTTTTAGAAATACTTTTAACGCATTCTTACTGTTCAGTCTCGCTGTATGCGGGTGTTAGATCATTTGGTAGTGTTCACTGCAGTGCTGGAGTCTGTCGGGATTGATGGCAGCTACGAGACATTTAAAGGATCAGGTTACACATTGTTGCAGTGGTTGGCATACCTTTTTATAAACCTTTTGAAATGCCTTTTTTGGCCAAGAAACCTCTAAATGGCACAAAACAACTGTGCGATTTCTGAGCCGGCTATTCAAAAGTCTAATTACTGAATCAGTAACTGTGGGTTTATTTCTCCCCCACTGAAAAGCAAAAAACTTGGCGAGAGTCTAAAAACTAAGATTATAAACTTGTTTTTCTTGATGATTAAAGTCATTGTTGGCTCTGTGTTTACTCTGTTACTTTCTTAAAACAAAATCTATTTTTTTAAGTTCCACTGTTAGTTATGTTATATATCTATATAAAAAGCATTGGACCATGAGTGAGCAGTTTTGTAATGTGTGGTCAGTTCTCAACAAAGACTGGACTTCCTCTGGAATAAATGCAAAAAAACCTAGTATTTCCAGACACTGTACATTTTCATCTCAAAGTTATTATCTGTGAACAGAACAGGGCACTGATGTAATCATGAAAAAGCTGACCACTCTCTCCCTGGTTGATGATCTGAGTCCTTATCGATACTTTTCTTTTAATTTGGTGGAAAGACGGGACAGGCAACGCCACTTTAACAGAACTGATATACCGTGTTATATTTCTGGGAAAACAAACACATTTCTCATCCAATCAAATGTATTCAAGTTCACATTTTCTTTCTCTTGATGTTATCTTTGAACATATCATGATGGCTTTGTTGACCTTTACATAATAGTCATTTTACTGAGCCGACCTTGAACACATCATAATGGAGCCATATGTCACCTCATTTAGTTTATTCTGACGATTTCAACGCTAGATAACTGTTTTTAACGAACAGGACTTGTAACACATTTTGGGTGATCTTACCACAGCTGAGTGGAGAGAGGATGACTGTCCAGCAGCATCATGTGTCTACTTGCAACAGCAGCCAGAGTTGATGGATTTTATTTCTCGATTCACAATACTGACACACTGGTTGGCTGGCATTTCGATTCCATCCAAAAAAACGTTATTAGTCAATTGATTTGTGTTTGCGCACCAGTGATTTGATTTTTAAAAAGAAATGTGACTTGACTCGAGATATAATGTAACGTTTTAAGGTTTTAACACGAGACTCGTTAGCAGTATCGTTAAGCTCAAACGTTTGGAAATATTCTGAAGCGTGTCCCTCTGGGAACCAGGTTTCTGTCATCTCTCTCTCTCTCTCTCTCTCTCTCTCAGACGGATATCTCAGCAAGTGTATTATCATGCTCTCACTCAGTCTCAAGAACAGCATGAACGTTGACCGCTTCAGGGGGTTGTCGCTTTAATTTCGATGTCTCATCGTCTGCAGACATGTTTGATTTGTTATGTCGCCTCTAGCTGCATGAACATCGTGAACAACAGGCAGCAAATGCAGTATGACCAAGTCAGACTGAAGTGAATTAGATCAGACCAGCGGCCCGGAAGTGTTAAGACCACCGTCCTGTGAACCAGACTGACACGGTCTGTCTTTAAAGGGCTGCAGAGACTATAGTGTTCTGTGACATATGCTAACCGTATCATTAGCACCAAATCCAAAAAGTTTTTTTGAAGTTTTTTTTTTTTTGTGGCAGGTTTATGTGAGGTTGTTGTTATTTCTCCAGTATCAAACCACTTTGTTTGTGGGTTGTTGTTTTTCACGGTGCACTGACATAGATGTGTATTAATAACAGGCTGGGGACTGGGACTCTGTGTCTTTAATGAGAGCATTTGGCACCAGAGCTAATTGCTGATGTCTTTATTCTTCTGTCAATAACTGATGTCCTAATCTCAGCAGTGGGACACAAATGAGTTTTCCTTCGAGAGAAAGGTTTGCAGGAGCAGAAAGCAGCTTGTTTTTTTGTTTTTTTTCCTTCTCACAGTGATTCTTTTATAATAGAAACGAAAGAAACGCAGTCATGATTAAAGTAAAACAGCAGCGAGGATTTCGTTTTAGGAAGTCAGGGCAGAAAGGTTTTTCATTACCGCCCGTCTCTACTGCCTCCTCTTTGGGCACAGTTTGGAGTTTCTTCGGACACAGAAAACGTAAGGATTATCGTGTCAAATTAATAACTTTCTTTTCATTCTCGATTTTAATATTGCTTTTGTTCGAGTAGTTTCTAATAATATGCAATTGTAGTGTTCAAAGAGTTTGTGTTTTGATTTGCAGCAAATGACTGAATCGGTCAGTGAGAAATAAGATCAGATAAAGCTACTTGCTGTGGTTTGATGGTGTTACCCTCCTTTTTTCTTATTTTGTGTTTCTCCTTTTAATTCTTTCCTCCTCTCATTTGTTTGGAGTCACGTGAACTATTATAGAAATGTTAGCAGTTTCCCTTTTCTACTTCATGGGTCATTTTTGCCCTAATGCTTCAAATAACAATATTTAAAACAAACTTGTTGATACAGCCATCGCTAGCCTCAGCTAAAGAAGAAGTTAAACAGGCTGTTTAGTTTCTTTGTTGAAGTACATCAGTTATAATGGATTAAAATCCTCAGTTGCTTAAGTCTAATAAAACCCAGAGTCAAACTGCTAAAATGTAGCTAGCGTAGTTTAGCAGGCCTTTAGCTTTGTTAAGCGAGGCTTAGTTTGGAATTGTACAAGGTGGTTTGGTTAACTTTTTATTATTTATTTTTTTATTTTTTTATTTTTTTCATGTTTTCTTTTGAAGGCAAAGTGATTTTCATGATTTATCTGTGGTCATCATCAAATGCTATTGTTTGTGTATCCAAAGAAAATAATTTAAACACTCAAAAGTTGTCAGCATGAAAACCTTTTAACCTTTTTTTTTTTTTTTTTTTACAAAGTGTGATCATTTACTTTCCTTTTTATTTAAAGAGCAAATGGACAAAGCGTTGTTTGGACTATGTTCAGTCAAACAACATCAACTGAGAGCACAGAAGTAGCTTTGATTGAGCAGGTGACCTGAGATCTGTGAAAATGTCCAGTTTGATGTTGTGGAAACTCTCCAGACGTCACATAAAAGCTGACGGAGACAGAAAGGGACTCTGTCGGCGCTCAGTGTGATACTGGATGCTTCGGGTTTGGTCTACAGTTGTCATGGTGGTTTTGGCTGAACATTTGTATTGATGTGGTCTAATGGGCTGCATCACTTTCTGCCAGAGCTCCCCTCATTACCCATGCATGCTTGCACGCACACACACACACAGACACAGACACACACACACACACACACACACACACTTCCCTATGCTCAGAAGTCGGCCTGTGTCCTTCAGAGTCAGGCCTGGAGAGATCTGTGCTGTGACAGACAGGCGAGACTATTTATCCTTGCATACACCCGTCCAGCTTGATGTAACTACAGGAAATCTGTCTTTTTTTTTTCTCTGAGGTTCTCTAATCGCTCAATGTCAATAACATTAGACAAATTCTAAAGTTAAGGCTTAGTGTTGGTTATTGACGCAGAAGCATACATGTACAAATTAAAACATATTTCCAGGATGTGCAGAAGAAATTCCTGAGTGATAATTAAGACTTTTTTTTTTTTTTTTAAATATGAGATCTGCAGTTTCTTTTTTTCCCTGCTTAACTCTGCACAGCCTTGACAGCTGATGGGTGTCGTGATTCCAGGAAACACATTGTAAAAATCAATCAAAACCCCTCAGAGCCGAGAAGAGTGGTCACATGATCTGGACAGGAAGTGGAGGAGAGAGTGTTGTTGTGTGATTGGCTTTGTAGTTCAGTGTACTGCCGATAGTTCGGTTTCTCTTTTGTCAGCAACTTTATTATCCGACTCTTAACTGAGTCGATCCATTTAATCGATTTCAGTAGTGGACACATTTAAGAAAGTTAGAAATAACTTAAAGTTAGTTTTAAAAATTAAAGGGGTGTCATGCTCGTATGACAGGACAGTGAATAGATTCAGAAACAGGGATGAGAGAGTCGGGGATGACATGCAGAGGAAGGCCGAGGGGGGGAAAGGGTTTAAGTCCTTGAGGTTGAACCCTCATGAATGAATCAGACATACATTATATTAAGTAGAAATGTATGGAAAGGGATTTATTTTTTATTTTTCTTATACAAAATCATCAAATTTAACTCTGGTACTCTCTGTCTGCAGGAGGCCAGGCCAGGATGAACGGAGAGTCAGGAGCCGGAGTGGTGACGGCCCCCCCTCCCACCACAGCCCCTCACAAGGAGCGGTACTTTGACCGGGTGGACGAGAACAGCCCCGAGTACCAGAGGGAGAGAAACATGGCCCCCGACCTGCGGCAGGACTTCAACATGATGGAGCAGAGGAAGAGGGTGTCCATGATACTGCAGAGCCCGGTCAGTGCACAGTAAACTGTTCATTCATTTTGCCAAACCCTGAAAGAATGCATTACAGGCACTGTTGACAAAAGCACTCTGCATTTACCAGAAATGAAAAATGCCTTCAGTGTAAGGGCAGCAGACCTCTAAACGTCACATGACTGATCCAGTTTTATTCCTCATCAGCAGTTTGTCTAATACCCGCACAGAGAGCAGCACTGTATAGAAGTCTATTGTATGTATGATAAGAACTAGAGGCATAAAAAAGATCCAGAGTTGTGCTTTTAAGAGGGTTTAATGTTATTATGTTCAGGTCAGCGCTCATAGATACATTAAGAGGTACTTTGTATGTCTTTCTCTGTTTCTGAATCTCCTGTACCCTTCAATCAGTTATGAGGTACATTTGCTATTTTCTGTTAGAGTTTGAAAACTGTCAAAGTGTCAGTGTTACTTTACTGCTCCTTATGATAGTTGTTTAAAGCCCAGCAGCAACATTATATCCTCAGTAATACACATCCAGTATGTGATGAATTGGCTGTCCAGAGCAAGTTTCACATTTTTAAGGTTTATTTTTCTACAGATTTTGAAAATATATTTCCAACAGTGACTGACTAAAGGAATATACACAATATATTGAAGCATGCTGTCTAAAAACCCTATGAGCAATAATTCATATTAGTTGTGTCCAGGGTTTTTGTTAATGCAGGTTTAGATTAAAATAGAATTTGATCAGTTTTTTTTTTTTACCTCTTCTGTTTTGTAAAGTGGTCATTGTGATCCAATGAGTGTTTTGTTTTGTTAGTTTTTTGCCCTTAAACTGTTTTTTGTTTTTTGTGTGTCGTCATGTTTTGACCGGCAGGCCTTCTGTGATGAGCTGGAGACAATGATCCAGGATCAGCTGAAGAAGGGGAAAACGCCCACCAGCCTGCTGGCTCTGCAGCAGATCGCAGACTTCATGACCACCACTATGCCTTCCATGTATCCAGCTGCACCACAAGGAGGCATGGCAGCGCTCAACATGAGTAAGCAGAACGAGTGTGTGTGACTTTTTTGACCCCAGCCCTGATATGTCTGTGCACACGATGAGTAATGAAGCGTCTGGGGTAGTTAACATCGGGACAAAGAGTCCAGTTTGATTTAAGTTTGCGGACTCCATCTTAATGTCTGTATTTATTAGTGAGAGAATGGAGCTTCATATTGTTTCCCATACAGAGCTCTGTAGTTTATAGATAATTGCTCTAGCAGTGTCCTTTTATTGTCATTACTATAAAAAGTCTTTTTTTAACCTCTTTCATATAAGCCGATCTTTTCTGTCTGACTCCATCTCTTCCTCTCAGGTTTGGGTATGGTGACTCCAGTGAACGATCTGCGTGGTTCAGACTCCATCTCATATGATAAGGGCGAGAAGCTGCTTCGCTGCAAGCTGGCGGCCTTTTATCGGCTCGCTGATCTGTTCGGCTGGTCTGAGCTCATCTACAACCACCTCACAGTACGATGCACTTCCTTCTTTATTACACAGCCAACCGTGTTGACAGAGTCCGTCATCTCGTTATTAAGTAAAGATTTAATCTGAAGCATGTAGTCTTGTCTACTCACTGTTTATATAAAAAAATGTTTTTAAACTGTTGAGAGGGAAGAACTGAGGTAAAGATACTGCATTAGATGAATGGACTGGTGCTTACACTGAATAATCCAGTAACGCAACAGAAGTAAGTTGTGTTTACTTCTCTTTCATTATCTGAATGAGCTCCCCTATAGTTTATAGTATAGAGCCCCCCCCAAAAAAAATATTACCATAACATAAACTAAATAAGGAAAAAAAAAAACTCCCAGCCAGTCAACATTTTTCTTTTGTCTCAAACAAAGCCTGGAAGGGTTTTTTGTGCAGGCGTCGCTTTCTCAGTTTTTGTCCTTCAGGTGTTCTGACAGTGTCAGAATTTGAGAATCCACGCACTAAAACAGAACGTTCTTCTGGTGAAGAAACAAACAAACCAAAAATCCCTCAGAGGGCGTTGTTTTCATGTGCTGTGGAAAATGATAACACATGTTGACACGGCTGTGTAAGTCGTCAATCTGTCCTTTATTCATGCCATATGAGATGAACAGTAGAGGCCTTATTGACTATTATTATTGACCTTTAGAACTGTTCATAGCCTGACAGATATCCATTTTAAATCAGACATGTTTCATATATTCTTTGCCATGTAATAGAGTAATGTAATGTTTCTGTTTTATATTTTAGGTCAGGGTGAACTCAGATGAGGAGCGCTTCCTAATTGTCCCCTTTGGGCTCCTGTACAGTGAAGTCACTGCTTCTAGTCTGGTAAGAATCTGACCTAATGTGTATTAAAACTGCATTTGTTTTCTTTTTTACTTTTCTATCAGAGAACAAAAAAATTTCGTCGTTTAACTTGAGATACACATAATAAAATATTTGAAAGCAACTTAAATGAACCCCTCCCCGTCTTCCCCGCTCTCCAGGTGAAGATTAACATTCAGGGTGAGATCGTGGACCGGGGCAGCACAAATCTCGGAGTCAACCAGGCCGGCTTCACTCTCCACTCTGCCATCTACGCTGCACGGCCCGATGTGAAGTGCATCGTGCATATACACACACCTGCAGGGGCTGCGGTAAGGGACTGTGTCCACAAAGTGTTAATACCTACAACAAACACAAGCATGTTTAGCCATGGTGTCATATGGTGTGTTTGTCTGTCTGGCTGCAGGTGTCGGCCATGAAATGTGGCCTGTTGCCGATCTCACCTGAGGCTCTGTCTCTGGGAGAAGTGACCTATCATGACTACCACGGCATTCTGGTGGATGAGGAAGAAAGTACTCTCATACAGAAGAACCTCGGGCCTACCAGCAAGGTAAAAAAAAAAAGACTAAATATAAACCAGAGAAATGATGTTCAGAACTATAATAATGTTTGAACTGTGAAAGCTTCATTTTGAAAAGAAAAAGGGCTGAATTCACATTTTATGGTGTTTTAACATGTAGCATGAACAAGTCAGCTAATTTCTTAATCCTACAAACAGCTGTGGAGTTTTGTTGTTCTCGTCTTAGTCTGTGTTTTTTTCCGTCCCAGGTGCTCATCCTCAGAAACCATGGCTTGGTGTCAGTCGGGGAAACAGTGGAGGAAGCTTTTTATTACATCCACAATCTTGTAACCGCCTGTGAGATCCAGGTGAGTGAAACATGTTCCCTGATGTATTGTGACTTAAAGACAAAAAGTCCTGAATTATTACTTCAGCACATTTTGTGTAGAATCCCATATCCCATGTTGTTTGTCTGCACATATCATGACTATTGTCTTTTGTCCCCTTGTGTCTCCACATCTTTATATGTGTTCATTCTTCTTCTTGTTTATGTGTGTATCTGTGTGTGTATGTCTTCATGTCCACTCTTTATTTTCCGTCCGTTACCTGGATCCTATCCGTGGTTTTGTCTGTCTCTACCTACCCCCCTAAATTTCTTTCAGGTGCGAACACTGGCCAGCGCTGGAGGGCCGGACAATCTGGTAATGCTGGACCCGGCCAAATACAAGGCTCGCCCACGGGTGCCAGAGCCAGCCGGCGACGGGTCATCCACACACCCAAAGTGGCAAGTCGGGGAGCAGGAGTTTGAGGCTCTCATGAGAATGCTCGACAACCTGGTAAGAAGAAAGAAAAGGGGCATGTGTAAAACGTTCCCCCCCCCCTCTCCTCGTGTGAGGAGGGTAATGAAAATGAATAGGATTAAAGATTTAATGTCGAGTTTATGTAAATGTTTAATTTAGTCTGTCAAACTTCGTCTTTAACAACATATTCATTGAAAAATAGATTTTGTTTCTGTATTAACCCTTTGCTTACCCCTTTTGTTAATATCTGTCTTCCTGTTTCCAGGGTTACAGGACGGGCTACCCTTACCGCTGCCCGGCATTGCGAGACAAAGGTAAAAAGTACAGTGACGCAGAGAACGCTTCCTCCGCCCACGGTGGTTACTCGTACGGCGAGGACAGTGACTCAGGCGCTCGCTCCCCGCTGAAACACAGCTTCCAGCGCGGCCAGCGCGACAAGACCCGCTGGGTCAATGCCGGCGGCCGGCCCGACGAGCCCTACGAGGACGGGCCCGACGGCAGCAGCCCCAAGTCGAAGCCTAAGGTGTGGACGAACATAACACACGATCACGTCAAACCCTTGCTGCAGTCTCTCTCGTCTGGTGTCTGCGTGCCAAGCTGTATAACCAACTGCTTGGTCTGTGCCTACCTTACTGTTCATAGTATAGATTGTACAGCTACTTTCTTGGTGATATGGGTAGGTGGTCGGCATCCTGAGGCTCTGGGGTCAGTGAGGAGTAAAAGTATAGTACAATCTGTCATCTTTAATTCAGCCTTCTTTATTTAACTGCTAGGCTCAGAAAGGAAGTGAGTATTCTGCTACTTTTCAAAAACGTTTAGTCGTCTTCAGGCTCACTCTGTAACTGTAGCTGCCGTATTAACCCACATTAAAGACGCACTTAACTCCGCTCTGTTCAGTTACGTCAAAGCAAAGCTGTGATTATTCTGTTGATTCACTTTGCTCTTGTTCTCTTTCTGGTCTCCTACTGCTTCACGATGCCGGGCCAGCTGCCTCCCAGCATGCCCCACTTGCATGTGTAGTTGTGAAATGCATTGTTGCTGTTGATGTTTTTCCCAGAGGAGCGAGCAGCAGGGGTGTGGCATGAGTCCTCAAGTGGGCAGGTGGATGTGGGAAGACATGGCGACCACACGATCGCTGACCACGCTGTAATACACGCCCTCTTTCTCTTTGCATCTTGAAGTTAGCTCTGGTGAAAGGAAAGGCAAATACTGCTAGATTTAAGTCTTTATTAACCTAAAAGTTCTAAGTGTAAGCTTGCATTGTAAGCTGCTAGTGTAGCATTAAGATAGATTTACATTGCCTGCTAAAAAAAAAAAAGAGTGAGGTGGCATGTCTCGGTCTGAAGATCTTTAATTATATGAATAATATAGACATCATAGACATTTGTTTATAAAGAGATAACGATTATATAACAAGGAAAACTTACAAAAGAGTTTGTGCAGCCTGTATGTGTTTTACATTTTTAAAACTTCTCAAGATCTTAACTTCTCCCAGTTGTATGTTTCCGTTTCCCTTATTTTTGTACTCTCAAATTTCTGGTTTTAGTTTCCCCCTAAAAAATGCTGGAAAAAAAAATTGAGGCTGCATGAGTGGATTTGTTTGAAAAAAAAAAAAAAAAAAAAAAAAAAAAAACAAAATGTGGAATTTGACCTGACTTTTGAATTAATTATCTCCTGTTGGGAAAGTAGGAAATGTTGTGTTGTGAGACTCTTTATCAGTGAGTATATCGTGTTTACATGTTCATCTCATACTCAAACCAACCCCCCCCCGACCCGGCTACTTCCATCCAGAAAACCCTTCCTCATCCGTTTTTGGAAAGCTAGCCAACCGAGCTTCAGAATAAAAACTCAGGAATGGAGTCATGAGCTTCTGCTTTCACACTGCAAATGACATGCCTAGTTTAAAAAAGGTTAAAACAAAAATATCCTGCATGAAAGCTGAAGATTTGATTTGTACCTTCACCCGCTGCTCATTCAGAAATGGGTGCTGGCTTTATTTTCCTTCAATCATGCTGAGCATTACCAGGTTTACAAAACCACTGTGACAGTAAGTGGGGAAAACTAAAAGGTTTCGTCCCTGCAGGAAAGATGCCTCCTTGATTAGATTTTTTGTTGTTGTTGCGTGGAGTGGCCTCGGGTGTTTTTCTCTCTTATCTCTGTCGTCCTTGTTGTCGTGTATTAGCCTGGGAAATGACTTTGGTGATGCCAGCTCACCCCTCACTGCCACTCTCGCTTCGTAAGCCAAACCCAATCATCTCAGTCACCCCACCCGGCCATCCCTCTCACCTCACCCTCCCTCGTCTCCTGCCACCACCCACCCCTCACCTCTGCCTCCCTTACCTCCCCTTGTAACCTTTTTGTCATTCTGTGATGCTTTCAGTTTGTCTTCAGTGTGCTTCTTCTTTTTTTATTTTGAATAAGACGATCAATGATGATGACAAAGGGGGTTTAGGTGGTCGAAATACATTGTTAGGCTTAAGTCGCTATATCCTACTGTATGCTTTAACTGGTGTCAGGCACAACGTCTTCTTTTAATCAGTTTCACACATGCATGAAACTCTTGGAAAATGTCCTGAAATGATGTGTTTGTGTTCACACATTCAGCTCCACCTAAAAGTTTGGAGATATTTCCAGGAGTTTTTTTTTTTTTTTTAGCTTGTGTGAAAAGCTGGCACATGTGCACAGCTGCTTTTCAGCATCACTGATCATAGGGTGGGCAGGATTTCAGGCTCAGTTACTCAGAGTTTCACAGTGTCGACCAAGCCTAACTTTTTATAGCAGATTCATAAAATCATAAAGCATCACATTATGTATCTAAAGGTTAGTTCGGCACCAAAAAAAATAAATAAATAAAATTTTTTTTTTTAAGGCAGCATGAAGAGGCACAACTTTGAAACATCCTGTTTTTGTCACTTAACGTTCACATTAGCTGCAAAGTCACCTGGGAAGACTGATCATAAGAAATCAACACGACACTGATTTGTGAGGAATGAGATGTGTAGTCGATAACACCTAAACTGGTTGAAGAGGCTTTTTTACTTGAGTCTTGTGAGAGTGTTGCTGTAGTTTTTAATACTGTCTGAGAAATGATTTATTTTTAATAACATTTCAGCACTACAGATCTGTTTAGATTAGTTGGTGAGAATCCTCTGCTAAAAGCAAACACTCTATAGACTGCAAAGAGGAAATCTTAAAGGGTTTTTTGAGTGAAAAATGTTATTATTATCCGAATGAACCCTTTATTGAATGTGCCTCATCATCATTGGTTCACTTTTTTTTACATTCAAACCTTTTTACAGCCATCCAACTTTGTCCATTTCAGTTCAGCATGACTCTTGTATTGTGAAGCCTGCGTAGTATTTTGTCTGAATCTTATTTCTGTTCCTGCGTTTTGGATTTCATGAATCTGAGTTGAGATTTTTTGTTTTGGTTTCTTTTAACACTTCTTGTGGTGTTTACAGTTTACAAAGGAAGAGGGACTCCGCCAGGCTGCCGTAGCCAATCAGTTCATCCCGATGAACACCAATCCAAAAGATGTGCTGGAAATGAGGAATAAGGTATCAAATATTTCTCCCCCTGCTGCCTTTTTTTATTTGAGTAAACAGAGAACATCTCAAGGCTCATAAGGGTCTAGAGATGTTTATCAGTTGTTCATGAGTAAGTTGTTGTGCTTTCTAGATCCGGGAGCAGAACCTGCAGGACATAAAGACAGCGGGACCCCAGTCTCAGGTCCTGTGTGCTGGAACTGGAATGGAACGCTCCTTTAACCAGGTCAGTCGGTGAAGTCTTCTGCAAATCAAAAAAAAAAAAACCTCTCGCTGCTACAGCTATCCTGACCTGGAGATGAATCCAAACAAAAGAGACTTTTTTTAATCATTGAAAAACACAGTTAAATGCTTGGAAAAAATACCTTCATATTCAGTCCAGGTCTGGAGTCACCCCTTACGCTGCAAACTCAATATTGTTTGTGAAGTTGTTCTGGACATTCAACTTTTATGGCAGAATTTGGATGCGATCAAAATGCGTTCTTTAAAATCTGATCTGACTTGAGTTTCTAAAGGAATAACTTCACTGCTATTGACAGACATGTCCTCCATGTTGTTTTGGGGTGACTGTGTAACTGTCACATTATTCTTTGACCACAGAGATATTCACTCTGCCAGGTGAGTAATGTGTTGGTAGAGGTAACCTCACTCTGCTCTCCAAACCTGCCAGCTCAGGTTGTGTCCATAGTCATCCATATTCTTTTTTTTTTTCTTTTTTTTTTAAACTCATTCCTTTGAGGATCGAAGATGGTCATTTGACAGATGTATTGAGTTTTATTTCTGTGCATGCACTCTTTATCCCCATCTGAGAAGAAAAAAAAGCTTCCTGGAAATAAAACCAAACACCTTAAGGAGAACGACAAAAAATAAAAAGAGATTCACTTTTTATTTGAAAGAGTGTCGAGCAACTTTGAGGTCAAACTTCACCCCCGCACGTCAGCTGTAAGACCGAGGCAGTCCATCATATGCTTCTGTTTTGTCAAGCCAAAGCTGTTGCATGAAACCCCCTGTGTGGATAGTTGTTCTCTACCGTGCACGCTCTCTGCTCTGCTCGTCACGGCCTCAAATCTCTTTCTAGAACCACCTCGCTTTGCATGCATTTCCACGTCTGTAAGGTATGTGTGTGTGCAGAGGTGGAAAGTTATTAATGAACTAACTACAGGCCAGTTTACCCTTCTTTTACACAATCTCTTTAATGTGAAAAGAAATGATTTAGCGTTTTTCGTTAACAGGCATTATAGAAGTTAAACTGTTTTGTAACTAAATGAATAATTCTTCTTGAGCCTCTTTCCTGCTTTTCAGTCTCTTTAATTCTCTCCTTCACATTTCTCTTTTAAGATCTTATTAAAATGGCACCTATTCACAGTGACCATGATCATTTCCATAGAGTAGCTTTTAGTGTTTATTCATCCCACAATGAGGAAATCTAAAGTGTTACAGCAGCAAAGAGCAAGGATGGCCAACAAAAGAAACCCAGTGCACAATTAAATAGAATAAGAAATAGTAAAAACTCTCACTTTCTGACAGCCTCACATCTGTTCCACAATATTTCGCTAAAAGCATTTGTAGTACTCTTTCCACCTTTGTGCATGTGAAAGCTGCTGTGCTCCTGAATGTCTGCACACATTCAGTCATGCCTGCCCGACATACCGCTGATTCAAAATGTGCTCGTGTTTCAAGAGATGGCTTGTGGCCCCCCCCCCCTCACTGGGTTTACTATTGCAGGACGCCCCTCTGTCTGACTGTACAGACACTATTGATGGCCTTGATGTGTCCGAGGGGTCCTATAGTCCTGCTAGATCAATTAGAAAGGTACTTGCTACTTCAGTCATGAATGCTATTCACCTGTAGTTCACATCACTGCACTCAGTCTGCAGATAGGCTTGTATGAATACAGTAGAATTTCAAGGTAGAATGAAGCGGTTGACCCTTTTTCTTTTTGTATGGTCATGTGACATACACTAGTGTTTCTTAATCTACAGTCTGAGACGTTTTGACAGTTTGATTTAAGGTTTTTGTGCCTGATAGGATCCTTGTGATGGATGATTGCAGTCATGACTCTTTTGTAGGAGAGCAAGCAGACTTTTTGTTTCAAAACACAGTTCATCATATTTATTGATGTGAGCAGTAGAGAGGGGAGGTTTTAGATCCACTGATGCATAAAAATGAAAGAAAATGGATTAGAAAAGAAAAAAAAATGTCCTAGAAAACACATTACAACTGTTTTGACAAATTTAATCCACATTTCACGACAGCTCATTGAAATATCTTTTATCTCAGTCAGTAAAAGATTAGGATTTTATTAATTTATAAATACTTATTTTATTAAAAGTCAGTCAATATGGCAGTTTCTATGAGTAACACTGAAATATTTTAGCTTTGGCTCCTTTTTGTGGTTTTAAAGTCAATCAATTTGTATTAGTCAATCTTAATTTGTGTTGCTTCAATTCACAACTAATGCTATCTCAAGAGACCTTACAAAAAGGGCAGGTCTAGATCGCACAGTTTGTTTTAATATTTACAAAGACCCAACATTATTCCACCGATAGGAAAACATTCAGCAAGGTTACAGTGTCAAGGAAAAAGTTCCTTTTAAAAAAAAAAGCAGAAATCTTGAGCAGACTCATGTTGCTCCGACTTTGTTGCGCTTTCAGAAAGAGATTGAATGAGACTGAAAGAGAAACAACAACAAACAAAACAGATTTATAGCTGCAAGCTGCCACTTGTAATGGTAAAAGCATTTGTGGTATAGGCAGGAACAGCAAAATGATGATAATCGACCCACAGTATGAGTCTCATTATTAATGTAAACATCTCTACTGATGACACAATGGGGAGGACTGATGTTGTTAATGATAGCAGCTCTGAGATTCACAGTAACAATGATAATAGTGGTAAGAATGAGACTGATGGATGCAGCAGTTGGAGTCAGTCAGGTGGACAGCAACAGGCTGATAACTCCTCCTCAGGTCAGATACATGGCTGTAGTAGTTCTGTGTTTGTTGTCTCTGATGCACTAAATACTTCTCAAATCTGTCAGTGCTTGGTTATCATGTAGAAGTGTTATTTAATATGAATGTCTAATAAAATGACTCTTTGTATACAATAAGATCTTTTTCTGATATGTTTCTCTTTGCCATAGATTGATAGCTCTATCTTCATAGAACATGTTGGCGCTCACATTCTGCATAATCTAATCTGAGAGTACTGTTCATGTTTGTCAAAATGTTGCCTTTGTGCAAGTTTTAAACACAGCAGCTGTTTCTCTCTAAAATAATTCCTTTCATGTGTTAACTGCAGTAACTTGTTGTCTGTTTGAACCTGGACGTCTCAATGCTTTTTGTCTACTACTTCTGTGTGTGTCCTGTAGGGGGAGCTAGTGACCGCCTCCAAGGCCATCATTGAGAAGGAGTACCAGCCCAAGGTCATCGTCAGCAAGCAGGGTCCGAACCCCTTCACCAAACTCACCGACCAGGAGCTGGAGGAGTATCGCAAGGAGGTGGAGCAGAAACAGAAAGGGCCTGAAGGTAAACAGAGCAGAAGAAGAAGAAACTAATCTATCAAAATAGCCACAACTGTTAGTTATAGTCTATGCTGATGTGAGAATTACAGATGTACACGATAACTAGTATAGGCAGCATTGATGTCAAAGCAGAGAAGTGTTCAATCACTTAAGTTTTAACACCTTCCTCAGGGTACATTACTCTGCATAGAGAACAGTGAATTATACTGTGTGATTTAGCCTCCTCCTTCTTTAATCACTCTAGCTTGACCTTCTTCAAGAAATGAAAATGACACAATAATGTCACTGATATGAGTCTGCAGTGCGAAGAGGATTTGTTCTTTGAGCTGTTAACTGTTGATGTTCACTTAGTGTTGATCTTATTCTTCATATTTTCAAGTGATTCGCAGCTATTCCAAGTATATAAGAATCATTTAGATAACGCTTGTAAGTAGGGAAATAAGGCGTGCAGATTCATGCAAAAAAACCCAATGAATTTCTGTAGGCCAAACTGTGATGTTATCTCTCCACACAAATGAATTCACAGTGCAGGGACGTGATGATAGTAAGGAGGGATCAGCCTCCAATGTTCCCTGTCCTGAGCCTGAAAAGCAACCGAGGGGTCAAGCCTCTGACTCCCAACCTCTACAGTCTGCATCCGACTCGCCCAGCTTAGAGCAAGCCCCGCCTGCAGCCGCCCCTGAGCCGGGCTCCTCTGGCCCCGGCCCCTCCAGCGAGGCAGAACCGGCTCAGAGCATCGAAAGTACCGCAGAGTTAGTCGTAGATGAAGTTTTAACGTCCGCGGAAGAGATTCTGTCAGCTCCAGATTCCCCACAAAAGGAGTTCCACTGCGCCGTGCTGCGAGCCCTGAGCAAGGAGCCAGTGGTAGACGCAGACCGGGCTCCAGGTACAACCAGATGAAGCGGAGTCATCCTTAAAATCTGGCCTTCCGCTTCCCTCACCCTCCTGCTCAGGCTTGACCCGTCTGCACTGGGGAGTGTGGGAATCCTTGCCTGCTGTGTCCTCTCCTTTTCCTTGCGGGTTTTGGAGTCTGCTGCCATTGTTTTAAATCCCTACCCACAGTTCATTCTTCAGAGTCTTGCTTGATTTCCCCTCGTCATCCCCTCTCTCTCTCTCTCTCTCTCTCTCTGATGCCTTGCGCAAAAGGCATCCGAGTTTAAGCAGATCATTACTCTTACTCCAGGTTTGATTGGACGAGGGACTGAGTACAGAGGATTTGAGCAGTTAAAGGATACACTCTTTTGAGATTTGAAACAGCGCCTCCACTCTTTTGAGGTGCTCTCCCCTCAGGTCTAGAAGTGCTTTTGCAGTGCAGTGCTTGCTCAACCCTCAGGGAAACTGTTTCTGAACTCAGTCATCCAATCAGAGCTTCCCGTGTGTGGACAATAAATAAGGATGTTCTCCTTCTTCTTTTCCTGCTAATCTATCCTGGATTTACCTCCATTGGTGTCCACTCGCCCTCCTGTGCCTCTGACTGATTCCCAATCATCTCATGATAAGATTTAGTTTTGCTTTCCTCTCGGGGAAATTTTAAAGCTCCTGTGAGGAACTTTTCTGTTTGTGTTGATTCATGCGCCCCCTGTGTACAAAACGGCACCTCTTATCGCTTAGCTGCTCCTGTCCTGTACTTGTGCAAGTCATTTTTTTTTATGTTGAAGAATGTTATCCTGCTGTTTCATAATTAGTAAATAATAAAAATACATTTTAATCTTTGCTTTGCATATTGTATAAAAAGACTGCTTATGCAACATTGCAGCAGTGGTCATAGGCTGTAAAAATAACGACAGAGAAAGTATAAATTTTGTCGCCGTTCCTCTCGTTTGCTTCCTTTAGGGCATATACAAATATTAACATAAATGTCAGTCTGTTTCATAACGGGTTAAAAACTCCCCACAGGAGCTTTAAGGTTGATTTTTATCGGGTTTCTTTTAAAGCTTCAGCGGTTCTCTCCTGATTAATTCTTCCTCCCTGGATTGGCTCCCTTTGTTTTTCTCCCTTTGGTGTTATCTTAAGATTCAGAATTTTGCTTACAATCAAAATCTTAGGCTAAAAAATAAATGCTCATTCATTGAAAATAATTCTTGTTCATTATATCCCTTCTCATATGTGGTAAAAAGATTCTCACTGTTTAGTTTCTGCCGTTTCTTTTGGTTCAGACCCTGAGCAGCTAGTTGAGCCTGACGAGGAGCCCCGAGGCCAGAAACCCACCACCACGCCTCCCAGCACCCCGGTCAGAGCAGAAGAAGGTAGGTTGACCTGAAGTACTCGACCACACCTGGCTAGCCTGGTTCAGCATGGGTTCCTCCAGTCCTCCGACTGGCTTTTTGGCTGTTTTTAGGGTCTACAGGAAGAATGCAGAGACTTGAGCTCATCCATCTGCCTGTTTGTCTTGAAGTTTGTTTGTGTTGTGCTCTTTAATAATACTACTACAGGTGTTGTGCTTTGTTTTGTGTAATAACAGGCCAAGAGGTTCAGTTTGATCAATGAGAGATTCCATATCATAGGCGCAGATTAAGATTTAATTTTAAAGCTCCTGTGAGGAACGTTTGGTATGTGTTGATTTTGGCGCCCCCTGTGGACACAGCAGTACTTATTATGTACATCATGTTTAAACTGTGTTTAAACTTGCAGTGGAAATCGTAAAACAGCCTGTGTCTTCAGCGAGCTGTTGAAGACTTAGTTTGTCATCTACCTGGCCTCGGCAGGCTCTAAAAATGACCATCTACAGATAGTTCATCTTTAATCTGATGGTCTAGTTTGCGAGGCATCATTATTAATTTTATTCACAACAGGCAGAAAACACCTCACAGGAGCTTTTAGATGTGGTGTCAGGAAATAGTTCAGAAAGACAGTCATAGTGAATATCAAAATGATTTAAAACAAAATTAAGTTGTTTTGGTATTTTAGGTTTTAAATGCAGGCATTCCAGTTTGACGCTTTTCTTTAATGTTTACTTTTTCCCTCTTGGTCTTTATTACTATTGGATTACACCTTTCTTAACCGTATCAGCCATGATGATACAAGAATCTAATTATTATGTTAATTTAATCGTAATTTCAATCAAACACTTTTACTGTGGGCCACAGTCAGCAAACAGTGAATTTATAAACCTTGTGTGGGAGTAAAGGGATACGTAGTTTTAATAGCAGGTGTAATCTAATACCTGAAATGTTGTTTTATAACATATGTCTCTATGTACAGTATCTCCTCTGCCCCTTCACTTCCATTCTCCATCTTTTTGGGGTCTACTAAGAATGGTTCCCAACCATTCTTTTTAAATTTCTTCTCTGGTGGTTTTTTGTTTTCTCTCTATTTCACGTTTTTGTTTCCTTTTTTTTTTATAATTTAACACAGTGCTTGTGGTTTGATCTGCATAGACATTTGTTTCTACCTGTGCTTTTTCTTCTTTGTGCCTGCGATTACAATCAGGAGATGGAAATACAAAAGAGTACCTGTTGCCATAGTAAGTACGTACTGTTCCAACTCCTAATTACCCGCCACCCTCCATGCCCGTGTTTTTTGATCATTTACCCTTTTTTTATGTGCATGGCTTCACTCGTAGAGCTCTTCTGTCTTCTGAACTAACCCATTTCTTTCTGGGATCTGAGACTGTTCAGTCAAGTTGTACTCTGAAGTTCTTTAAATCTCTTCTTGGGGTTGATGGGGGTTATTTCAGAGCTCCACCTTCTCTTGTGATTTGCATTGACTCACTGAAGTCTATATGACTAAGGAAAGAAATGACAAGACACGTCAATAAAACATGTTCCTCAAAGTCTTATTTCTCATCAGCTCAAATGAGAGTTTCCTGGATTTAACAAAGTGAAGGAAGTTCCTGAAATAAACCTCAACTCTCAAACCTTTTAAATTAGATAACCTTTTTCTTCCCTTTATTGACTCACTTTCAAGTAACCCAACCTCTCTTGCACTTATTCACATTCTCTTTATGTACATGACACTGAATTTTTGTTTCATGGAGAAAAAAAAAAAAATCAGGTAATGCAAATGTTGTTTGTTTTACAGACGAGTCCATGACCAGGTACATGAGTGCTTCTTTGAGTGTGGCTTTCAAACCGAACTTGCTGCTGATGGCTTTATGCTGACTCGCTGTTAGTTTTAGCTTTAAAGATGGTTGAGTTCCACTGCTTTTTCTGTGTGTTTTTTTGTCTCCATTTTATCTGTCTGTAAGTTTGGTCTCATCTCTGTTCTGACAGACATGAGAGAGTAAAATGAAGAGTGGTGTGCAGTGTTTTCTCTGGTCTTTATAAAGGGTTTCTTCATGCTAGTCTGTAGCATGCAAGCCACATTAGAAATGCATAGACCAGTAGTTGTTTTGCACCTGACTGCATTGTGTGAGCTTTAACTGAGCTTGAAGTAGTTTCAGCCACTGATCCATAGAGGTCTGCTGACGCCCACCTTCTGGATCCTGCTCCAGCACTGGTTGCTTCTTAACTCTTTTTGCTGGGAGTATTTTTAACCATGACATAAACAATTCAGTAAACATGAACATTAAATTAAAAAAAAAAAAAAGAAAAAATGTTACCAGTTTCCACAGTCTGAAAGACACTAAAGGACATCGTACTAGTTACATTGCCAAGTTAAGCTACACGACTAAGCCTTTTCCATTCATCCCTGCATGAATGCAGTTTTCTATTTCAGTTTCAGTTTGACTGGTACAAGTTATAATAATCGATTTAGTTGAGAAAGACAGAAGTACGTGCGTTCAAACAGAGAAATAGCGTTTTCAGACAGCAACCTTTGATTTCTGCCAACCCAAATTGTAACAGATGCTCACATTTTTGAGCTATAGCTAGCTAGCTGTTCTTGTAAGCCGTGTAAATTGGTTAAAAATCCGTCTCTATCTGACTTTTAACATTTTCGTTCCGTTTTAGAAAAAAATCTAAAAGAATAACACCTTTTTTAGACAAAAATAATATAAGGCAGCGTCTCATTTTGAGCCAACAGCACAAATACTGCTGAGTCACTCTTTACGGCGTTCAACAGCTGCAGAGAGCTAGCAAGGTTTTTGAATTAGCCTCAAAAATACAGCGCATGCTTCCAGACAAAAAAAGTATTGTATTTATATCTTGTTCAGCAAAAATAGTTGACTCCTGTTTATTAACTGAACCTTTTTAGTTATCAGCATATTTTGCTGGATTATAGTAAACTTACTGAAGTGGTTGAAAATCTGCCTTCAGATGAACTTTTAATATTTAAATGGACTTGTATTAAAATATTAAATTGTAAAATATGCTTTGAGTTTGTTAGCTAACAGACGTGTTTTTCCAACCTTTAGCTAATGCTATTTGTTAAACACATGGGTCAATTGCAGTGTGACTTAAACGCCCCGTAAATACAATAAAGAGCCTGCGTAGACACTAATGTAAGCATAACTTTGATTGTACCATCAAGAACTGGACCAAGCTCCTACATAATGGATCTTTTGGTCTGATATAGCTGGCTAGCTATGTATACATTCATTTTATTCCTCGAAAAATAAAAAGCAAAAGACCAAAGAGACTCTTTTAGCACTCATTATTAAGGAAAGCGGAAACCTGTATTTGTAGTTTTTTTTACTCCCAGCAAGTGGTTTAAATTTGTATCAAATACAATACTGTACTCACCTGTAAGTAAATTATTCCTCTGGTTGTTAATTCAAGGCTGAGTTTAACCTGCTTTGAAATCCGCGCCAGTTTAATTAACTCACTGGATCGTCTGCTGCCTTTTATTCTATAACCTCACTTGTGTGGTTATGTGATTAAAGTCTGTGGAAACATTGCAGTATGTGTTCTGTTGTAGACTTTTGTTTTTGTTTGTTTTACACAGGGTGCAAATGAGCAAGGGAACTGCCCTCATTAAGATTTCCCTATTTAAATGAAGGTAAACCAAAATGCTGTCTCGGCGTGGACCTGCCCAGAATGAGAAGTCCAAAATGTTTTTAGAAATAAACAAGATTTACAAGAGCACAGTCAGTTGCTTATTATCCTTGGGAGTTAGGATTGCAGGTTCTTGGCAGATGCTGTTCTGTTCTGTATGGTTAGAAGACAACAGTGCATCATGTTTTTGGTTTAGTGTTATTTTCTTTGTGTGTTTGTGAAACGCTCTTTCGGGTTTCAGAAGAAGTATGAGTTGAGGTAATAAACATTTCTGCAGTAAGGCTCTTAGACTAAAGACTTAAGCATAGTTGTTTAAAGTTGTTTACACTCATGAGGTGACAAGTGAATGTTTTTTTAAAAGAGGAAAACTGTGTGGCTTTGAAAGTTTATCCGGTGGTTTGATTTCTAGTTGCTCAAGTAGTGTGCAAGCTCGACTGCAGATCCGTCAATTTGTCCTCCAGTGATCATTAACTCTCCCCTTTCTTCTCCCGACAGAGTCTTTACCTGAGCAAACCTTTAAGGACGAGAGCGACGCAGCCACCCTGAGACAGACCCTTCCAGATTTAACACCCGACGACCCCTCCGATGCTCCGGCACTTCCTGCCGAAGACTCCGCCTCTGCACCTGCACCTGCACCTGCAGCTGCAGAGGCGGAGGCAAATGCAGACGCAGATGCTGATGCAGACACAGCTGCTGCAGCTGCAGTGGGAGCTGAGGGAGGAGGATGCTGCTGACGCTGGCGAACAGGAGGGTGAAGAGTCTCCAAGCAAATCGCCCTCCAAAAAGAAAAAGAAGTTCCGCACTCCCTCCTTCCTCAAGAAAAACAAAAAAAAAGACTGAGCCCTAGATTGGAGAATGTTTGATCGGTCCTCATGGCTGGCCTCTGCCTCTCTTCATTTTCGCTTTTTGTCTGCTTTCATTGCACCCTTCGAGCAAACCACAGCTACACACAGTTATGCTTTTTTGTTGTTTTGATATAATTTGTCGCTGGCTTATTAACCTACTTTTCCTCGTTAGTGTGTGCCAATTTTGTATACAGTGTAAAAATGACTGATTGCATAGAGGTTTTTAATTATTACAGGCTTTTAGTTGTGAGAGGGTGATGCATTCGGTCTTGTCCACTCCATCTGGCCTTTGATGCATGTCTAATACTGCAGGGCCACACGCTCGCTGTGAGGTTTTAAGGGTTTTATTGCCCTCATTTTTTAAAAATAAGAGTATTACTAAACTGTTGTAACCACTAGAATGTATTGGGATTGTATCAAAAATATGTCAAAGTGTCTTTTAAAAAAAACAAAACAATGCAGAAACAGAAGCTTGTCATTTACCTTCTGACAGTGAAAACTACGAATTACAATCATTTAATCACATAGGAGAACTACAGTATGAGAATGTAGTCATACTAAACCAAATATTCTGTTTAAATCATATTAGCGTAATCAAATCTGGTTGAAGGTTTTTTCCTTTTTTACTAAAATATTCCACCAACAAACATTTGACGCACCCTAACCTTACAGGTATGTTGTTAAGTGCTTTACAGCTTGTGATATTTTCCAAATTCAATTTAACCGTGTGGATTGAACCTGCGTTCTTTGAACCCACAGATGTTGAGTGTTTCACAACAAAGTGAGTCACCCTGATGGTGTTCATTCATTGTCCTTGTTGATTATTCCAAGGGATGGCAATATCTCTACTCCTGGCTTTTTAAAGTCTTTTATTATGAAGGAATGTGTAAAGAGAAATTCTTAGTCTGTGTTTTATTCATTTTTATTAATTATTATCTGAGTCTGACTTTGTTTGGCATTAGCTCCCTGATCCCCTCTGTCTCTGTGAACGTCAGAAACAGTTAAATATGCTACAAATTGTGAGTTTACGCATTTAATTTTTTTCTTCATTGTAATTGTTTTCTGTATTTTTATTTTTTTTAACCTGAGCTTTTTCTCACAGGGTAGATTGAGGTTTTGATCGCCTGCTGTGAGAGAGCACTGTGAATCCTATCTTTCAAACCACTGTCTATGAACTCATAACCACACATTGTTTTTACAGTCTGTCACCGTGCATCAAGATACAGAACACATCACGATTATGGAGCTGCATGATCAATCATACTTACTTAGACTTTCCCGTTTGAACCCCAGTCTGACCAAATGGACACTCTCACCTGTGTGTTTCCAGTTGCAGTAAAGACACGATGTACACTGGAGAAACATTTTGTTTTGTTATGGCACTGATGTGTAATCGATGGTGTGATATAAGCTATGCTTAAGGCTGCAGGTCGTTAATACGAAGACCACGTCCATGCATTGCTTCTCAGCTTGTTTTTATTCATCTTGTTTGATTGAAGAATGGGTTTGTCCAATTTGTGGTGAACCAAAAGATGAATATTACAGAAAACTACTAATTAGGCCTTTTTCCCCCATCTGCTACATGCAAAGCACAGAATGTCTGACTCATGAAGGACTGCATGTGTAGAGTGCTTAGAGTGTGTACTCTTCCTTTTAATGACTGTAACCACCCCATTGATTTGACCTCTGTTTGTTTTAGCTTAGAGTGCAGATAACAACAGTCACAGTCGTCACAGGAATGGTTTTTTCATCTCACATCTGCTGATTTGTATCCTCTGTCTGAACTACTTCCAGTTGAAATATGTCTCAGCATTATACCATCTACAGACTTAAATCTTCCACCTCTCTTTTCTCACGGCTCTGCCTCTTTTACAACCATAAATAAACAAACACTACCATGAAAGTCAGCGCTGTGTGGTTGTAGTCATTTATGGATAATAGTGGGGGGGGGAAAACGGGACAGCGACACCGCATGCCAAGTGCTCATGTTATTTATCAAAACATTACATATTCATCCTTCTTTAAAGATGTGTGTTTGTACTGTTAACTGATGTGGCTGATTACTCATTTCTCAGATTACAGGATAGGTGTCTTCTCTTTTTCTTTCTTCATGACTACAGGGGGAAAGTCCTGCTACAGCATGTGAGTTTAGGCAGGAGTCTTTCATATTGAAAATGCATAATGTAATTCAATCAGGTGTATCCAGCAAAAGGCAGGTTGTAGTCCATGCCTCCAGAGAGCCTCAACACTGACTGCAAGGGCGCCTTTTCCAAGTGAAGCTCGAATAGTTTGACTTCCTCCCGCTTGAGTTTTGAACCATGCTTATCAAGCGAGGTCTACAAGACGGGCTGGAAGATGAACTGGAAACTAAATAAACCCCTAACAGGTGACCACTGCAAGGCAGGTCAGCGGTGTGGTGTTTTAAAGACTGGTGCAGGGTTTGAACTCTTCACATGTAGAGGGGACCAGAGCCTTTATCATATAGATATATCATAATAAATATCTTTGTATCGACTGTTATATTTGAAATTGCAGTCACTTTGTGTCTAATGTTGGAATAAAAACACGTTTCCCTGCAGATTGCTGTTCTGTGGTTAACCAGATTAATGCGTTAAACCCATTCAGCCCTTTCCATTTTTTTGAAAGATGAGATTCAAGTTTCCGACACTAGGGGCGCTGTGGGGGAAAATCCTGACGTTTCTTTCTTCAACTTTGACCTCAGAGTTGTGCACGCTGGAAATGGCAACTCGATGAAAAAACGTGGATAGTGAAAGACACAGAGTTTTATTTATTAAAATCACCGTTTGAGCTTTTCCACCTGGATTTAAAACCTGTACGCGGCTGAAAGGTAAAAACCTGCCTTTGTTATGTAATGTTAACTTGTTTACAAATTGTAAAAGGCTGATAGTGAAGGCTGGCTGTGCTTTCCAGCAAGTAGCTCTTACATGTTTCTGCGTATTGTGATTTGTTTTCTTGCATATCATTCATTAAGCTTTGAGGAATAGATGACTTTTCTGACATTTAATGTTACACTTTGAATCCATTCAGGTTTTAGATGGTGATAGATTAAAACAATAGTGTACTGTGTGTGGTTGGTGTTTGTTTATATGTCCTCTCCTCTGGCACAGATGGGGAAGGTCCCCAAGAAGAGGAGCCTTGCTGACAAGGTGCGCAAAACCAAAACCTCTGCTGAGATCAAAAACAACCCGTTTGAAGTGAAAATCAACAGGAAGAAGTTTGAGGTGCTGGGGAGAAAGTCGAAGCACGATGTGGGTTTACCTGGTGTGTCCCGATCCAAAGCGAATAATAAGGTAAGGGCAACAACAGCATCATGTTACAGCCCACCTGAGAAACCTTCACCCAAGTCAGGTGAAGTCTGCTGCATCCAAATCAAATGTCTATGACCACCTTTCATGTGTGTGTCAGCCTGAAATGCAAATTAAATGTCCCACATGTAACTGTTTAGATCACAGTTCATCAATTTTTAATTTATTTATTTTTATTTAACCAGGAAAAAGTCTCATTGAGATTAAAAATCTCTTTTTTACAAGAGCGTCCTGGCCAAGACAGGCAGCAGCACAGTTTACAGGGTTTCAGACATAAAAAAAAAAAAAACACTTAAATACAGGAATCACAAAAAGAAGCATTCATCAGAATCTGTCATAAGACGTCAGCAACAAAGCGATCAAAAATGAGTTAGTTAAAAACATCTACAGTCAGATGTTTCTGCCTCCAGATCATTACAAGATAAGAAGACCTTTAAAAACATTGAAGGAAACCAACTCCCGAAGATTTAAAGTATCTTGCAACAGATTCCAAGAAGAGGGAGAAGCATACTTGAACGCCCCTTTTTCCTAATTCGGTACGGGCTTTAGGGATGGTTAGAAGATAAAGATAAACTTTATTGATCCCCCGTGGGGGAAATTACTGCATTACAGCAGCTCCAGAAAACAGGGGACGGGAATATAATTATAAAAAATAGAAGTTAAGAAACAGATCAAACATATTTACATCAGTTGAATAAAAAAATACAATAGTGGAAACTCTCTCTCCCTGGTTTCCGACTCTATCCACTGTCCTATCTCTGAATTAAAGGCACGAAAGCCCAAAATAAATCTTAAAAAAAGAATAATGGAAAATTACACAGTAACTACACAGGTAAGGGTTATTGTTATTAAAAACACACACACACACACACACACAGTGTGTAGCATGAGGTGGTGATGCTGTTAAACAGTCTGATTAAACAGTCTGACGGCAGATGGGATGAACGACCTGCTGTAGCGCTCTGTCTTGCAGGGTGGGTGTCTGAGAAGGTTAAATCCTGCGAGCGAAGATGGTAACTTCCATTACTTTTTTGAAGTATGTAGGTAGGATGGAAGCAGACTGAGAATACCTTAAATAAAAATAAATGAAAATATGCCAGTGATTTAGTCGACTGTGTCAAGAGACACAAGAGCACGTTCAAACATATGAATATATAGATTTCAGTTGTATATCTTTTGCAGTTCATTGTATGACCTGCACCAGATTGCAGAAATGAAGTTTAGTAAATATTTTAGATATTTTCTGCCTGTATCAGAAACCTACGTGTGTTCACACTGTGTACTTGTAAACATGTTTATATTCTGTACACAGGAGCAGTTATATCGATTAATCCTCCTAATGCCGTAGAATAAAGGTCAATAATGAGATTATTTTATCACACTTGATGCTTGTTCAATTTGAACATTTTAATTGTCTATCAAATCAAGCCGGAGGAGCTCAGTTTTAGAGTGATGTCGATCAGAACGGCAAGTTCCAGATTCACAGAAAAAGCCAAACTTAACCGTCATCTCCTATGCTGATCGTTCGTTTGAATTTGTTGACGAGCTGAATTCTGCCCGTTCATTATTAGTGTTTAACAAAAAGCTTAAGCAGGTGAGACGGAGGCCCCTCAGCCTGTAGGGACTTTGTTTTGGGATTGGGAACCAGGGGGGGTGGCAAGTCCAAGTCCCAGTGCGGATAGAAGTCTGGAAATTGTTCTGGTTCACTTCCTCCTGAGTACTGCCAAGGTGCCATTGAGAAAGGCACCCCGACTGCTCGGGACGCCCCATGTGTGCAACTCCTCACTCAGACATGTCTTCATTGAAAAGCATAGGTCCTAATTGTGCATGTGTGTTTTTCAGGCTTGTGTGTGTGCGTGAGTAGCATGTCTCACAATAGAACACAGAGGAAACCTGAATAAAGTACATAAAGCTCAATTAGCTGCAGCAGCGGACCCATTTCAGATCTTAATTCATTTAACTTTAAGCCAAAAAGGAAAAAGAGAGACCAGACCTTAAATTGATAAACTAAAGACGTTTTGTGAAAGTGGCTTCTTCATATTCGACGTGATCATTGAAGGGATTAAGATATCTGCAGCTTCAAACAGAAGCTTAAAGCCAGTGTGACTTTAACGTAATATATGGTTGAATAATGGAAAGCGTAAAACAGAAGATTCTGCTGTCTGTCGAATTAGATAAACCAAATGAAACAAAAGAGAAACTCCTCTCCTGTAGCACTTTGCTGGGTCACAGCTCATCATCCATGTAACACTGTCTGTGCTGTGAAGCCTGGTGCCCACAGTATCACGCTGAGGGAGGGAGTTTCTGCGAGGAACGATAACTAACAAGTTCAACTGAGGACAAAAGTATAATCTGCACATCTTTCCTCTGACTGAGAGTTTAAGATTTAGTTTACATTTGTGTATAAACGCTTTTTTCCTACGACACCTCGAAGGGAACACAGGTGCCTAATCTATCATGATGGAGCTGTGTGTGTGTGTGTGTGTGTGTGTGTGTGTGTGTGTGTGTGTGTGTGTGTGTGTGTGTGTGTGTGTGTGTGTGTGTGTGTGTGTGTGTGTGTGTGTGTGTGTGTGTGTGTGTGTGTGTGTGTGTGTGTGTGTGTGTGTGTGTGTGTGTGTGTGTGTGTGTGTGTGTGTGTGTGTGTGTGTGTGTGTGTGTGTGTGTGTGTGTGTGTGTGTGTGTGTGTGTGTGTGTGTGTGTTTGATGGAATAAAAATGACATCGCTTTCCATTTTTGACCTGCAGAGAAAGGAAACCCTCCTGAAGGAATACAAACTGAAGAACAAGTCCAGCAAATTGATCGACAGACGCTTCGGAGAGTACGACACCAACATGGCACCGGAAGACAAAATCCTGAAGCGGTTTGCGATGGAGCGGCAGGTCAGTGATGAGATCTTTTATCTGACATTAAAGGTCTCCTGAGCGTAACGCAGGCCTCAATAAAATCAAGCCAGCACTCAGATAGAAGAGGGCAAATTAGAACAAAGCAAGAGCTCCAACAGCACTTTAGATGCAGTTTCCCTTTGTGCTACGAAACAAGAATATCTGGTCTCACAAGGTGTCCGAAACATTTGATTTTGTCTTCCAGCGTGCCCACGATAAGAAGGATGTGTACAACCTGAACGAGGAGGAGGAGCTGACTCACTACGGACAGTCACTGGCAGAAATGGAGAAGTTCAATGACATTGGGAACAGTGATGATGAATCAGAAGAGAAAGGGCTTTTGTCAGGTGACTAAAACACTGATATTTTTAATCCGTGAGGTTTTATGTATTCAGAAGTAGTAGGAGTAAATATTCAGTTTCAGACGTTCTCTGGTGTGGACTTCTTCAGTTAGGGTTAGCACCTTTTTTAAAAATCATCTTTTTTTGACAGTATGTTGTGTGTGCGCTTCACAGAGCAAGGTCAAAAAGTGCTTTACAAAATGTACAATCATAAGAATTAATAGAATATAAAAAATGAAAAAAGAACACAAAAACCTTCAATTTTACAAAATGACACTGGATGAAATAAAATCCAGTTTGAACAGATGTGTCCTTTTTGAAAGCATCAGACGAAACTGCAGAAGGGTGATTGCTGCGG